TCTCATGCCCTGTCCCTCCCGATTCTGTCCCGTCCTTGTCTGTCCTGTACCATTCCCCATGTCCTGTCCCTCCCGATTCTGTTCCACCCTTGTCTGTCCTGTTCCGTTCCTCATGTCCTGTCCCCAACGATTCTGTTCTGTCCTTGTTTGCCCTGTACTATTCCTCATGGCCTGTCCCTCCCGATTCTGTTCTGTCCTTGTTTGCCCTGTACTATTCCTCATGGCCTGTCCCTCCCGATTCTGTTCTGTCCTTGTCTGTTGTGTACCGTTCCTCATGTCCTGTCCCTCGCGATTCTGTTCTATCCTTGTCTGTCCTGTAGCGTTCCCCATGTCCTGTCCCTCCCGATTCTGTTCTGTACTTGTCTGTCCTGTACCGTTCCTCATGACCTGTCCCCAACGATTCTGTTCTGTCCTTGTTTGCCCTGTACTGTCCGTTCCTCATGTCCTGTCACTCCCGAATTTGTTTTATCCTTGTCTGTCCTGTATCATTCCTCATGTCCTGTCCCTCCCGAATTTGTTCTGTCCTTGTCTGTCCTGTACCGTTCCTCGTGTCCTGTCCCTATTCTGTTCTATCCTTGTCTGTCCGGCCCCGTTCCTCATGTCCTGTCCCTCCTGAGACTGTTCTATCCTTGTCTGTTCTGTACCGTTCCTCATCTCCTGTCCCTCCCGATTCTGTTCCTCCCTTGTCTGTCCTGTACTGTTCCTCATGTCCTGTCCCTCCCGATTCTGTTCCACCCTTGTCTGTCCTGTACTGTTCTTCATGTCCTGTCCCTCCCGATCCTGTTCTATCCTTATCTGTCCTGTACCGTTCCTCATATCCTGCCCCTCCCGATTCTGTTCTATCCTTGTCTCGCCTGTACCGTTCCTCTTGTCCTGTCCCTCCCGATTCTGTTCTATCCTTATCTGTCCTGTACCGTTCCTCATATCCTGCCCCTCCCGATTCTGTTCTATCCTTGTCTTTCCTGTACCGTTCCTCATGTCCTGTCCCTCGCGATTCTGTTCTATCCTTGTCTGTCCTGTTCCGTTCCTCATGTCCTGTCCCCAACGATTCTGTTCTGTCCTTGTTTGCCCTGTACTGTTCCTCATGTCCTGTCCCTGCCGATTCTGTTCCACCCTTATCTGTCCTGAAGCGTTCCCCTGCCTGTCCCTTCCAATTCTGTTCTATCCTTGTCTGTCCTGTTCCGTTCCTCATGTCCTGTCCCCAACGATTCTGTTCTGTCCTTGTTTGCCCTGTACTATTCCTCATGTCCTGTCCCTCCCGATTCTGTCCCGTCCTTGTCTGTCCTGTACCATTCCCCATGGCCTGTCCCTCCCGATTCTGTTCTGTCCTTGTTTGCCCTGTACTGTCCGTTCCTCATGTCCTGTCACTCCCGAATTTGTTTTATCCTTGTCTGTCCTGTATCATTCCTCATGTCCTGTCCCTCCCGATTTTATTCCCCCCTTGTCTGTCCTGTACTGTTCCTCATGCCCTGTCCCTTCCGATTCTGTTCCACCCTTATCTGTCCTGAAGCGTTCCCCTGCCTGTCCCTTCCAATTCTGTTCTATCCTTGTCTGTCCTGTTCCGTTCCTCATGTCCTGTCCCCAACGATTCTGTTCTGTCCTTGTTTGCCCTGTACTGTCCGTTCCTCATGTCCTGTCACTCCCGAATTTGTTTTATCCTTGTCTGTCCTGTATCATTCCTCATGTCCTGTACCTACCGAATTTGTTCTGTCCTTGTCTGTCCTTTTTCGTTTCTCATGTCCTGTCCCTCCCGATTCTATTCCACCCTTGTCTGTCCTGTACTGTTCTTCATGTCCTGTCCCTCCCGATCCTGTTCTATCCTTATCTGTCCTGTACCGTTCCTCATGTCCTGTCACTCCCGAATTTGTTTTATCCTTGTCTGTCCTGTATCATTCCTCATGTCCTGTCCCTCCCGATTCTGTTCCACCCTTATCTGTCCTAAAGCGTTCCCCATGTCCTGTCCCTTCCGATTCTGTTCCACCCTTATCTGTCCTAAAGCGTTCCCCATGTCCTGTCCCTTCCGATTCTGTTCCACCCTTATCTGTCCTGAAGCGTTCCCCTGCCTGTCCCTTCCAATTCTGTTCTATCCTTGTCTGTCCTGTTCCGTTCCTCATGTCCTGTCCCCAACGATTCTGTTCTGTCCTTGTTTGCCCTGTACTATTCCTCATGTCCTGTCCCTCCCGATTCTGTTTTGTCCTTGTCTGTCCTGTACCGTTCCTCACGTCCTGTCCCTCCCGATTCTGTTCTATCCTTGTCTCGCCTGTACCGTTCCTCTTGTCCTGTCCCTCCCGATTCTGTTCTACCCTTGTCTCTCCTGTACCGTTCCTCATGTCCTGTCCCCAACGATTCTGTTCTGTCCTTGTTTGCCCTGTACTGTTCCCCATGTCCTGTCCCTCCCGATTCTGTTCCACCCTTGTCTGTCCTGTACTGTTCCTCATGCCCTGTCCCTTCCGATTCTGTTCCACCCTTATCTGTCCTACAGCGTTCCCCATGTCCTGTCCCTTCCGATTCTGTTCTGTCCTTGTTTGCCCTGTACTGTTCCCCATGTCCTGTCCCTCCCGATTCTGTTCTGTCCTTGTTTGCCCTGTACTATTCCTCATGTCCTGTCCCTCCCGATTCTGTTCTACCCTTGTCTCTCCTGTACCGTTCCTCATGTCCTGTCCCCAACGATTCTGTTCTGTCCTTGTTTGCCCTGTACTGTTCCTCATGTCCTGTCCCTCCCGATTCTGTCCCGTCCTTGTCTGTCCTGTACCATTCCCCATGGCCTGTCCCTCCCGATTCTGTTCTGTCCTTGTCTGTTCTGTACCGTTCCTCATATCCTGTCCCTTCCGATTCTGTTCTATCCTTGTCTCTCCTGTACCGTTCCTCATGTCCTGTCACTCCCGAATTTGTTTTATCCTTGTCTGTCCTGTATCATTCCTCATGTCCTGTACCTACCGAATTTGTTCTGTCCTTGTCTGTCCTTTTTCGTTTCTCATGTCCTGTCCCTCCCGATTCTGTTTTATCCTTATCTGTCCTGTACCGTTCCTCATGTCCTGTCCCCAACGATTCTGTTCTGTCCTTGTTTGCCCTGTACTGTTCCCCATGTCCTGTCCCTCCCGATTCTGTTCTACCCTTGTCTCTCCTGTACCGTTCCTCATGTCCTGTCCCTCCTGAGACTGTTCTATCCTTGTCTGTTCTGTACCGTTCCTCATCTCCTGTCCCTCCCGATTCTGTTCCTCCCTTGTCTGTCCTGTACTGTTCCTCATGTCCTGTCCCTTCCGATTCTGTTCCCCCCTTATCTGTCCTGAAGCGTTCCCCTGCCTGTCCCTTCCAATTCTGTTCTATCCTTGTCTGTCCTGTACCTTTCCTCATGTCCTGTCCCTCCCGATTCTGTTTTGTCCTTGTCTGTCCTGTACCGTTCCTCGTGTCCTGTCCCTCCCGATTCTCTTCTATCCTTGTCTGTCCTGTACCGTTCCTCATGTCCTGTCCCTCCTGATTCTGTTCTATCCTTGTCTGTCCAGTAGCATTCCTCGTGTCCTGTCCCTCCCGATTCTGTTCTATCCTTGTCTGTCCCGTACCGTTCCTCATGTCCTGTCCCTCCCGATTCTTTTCTATCCTTGTCTGTTCTGTACCGTTCCTCATATCCTGTCCCTTCCGATTCTGTTCTATCCTTGTCTGTCCAGTAGCGTTCCTCATGTCCTGTCCCTCCCGATTCTGTTTTGTCCTTGTCTGTCCGGTACCGTTCCTCGTGTCCTGTCCCTCCCGATTCTGTTCTATCCTTGTTTGTCCTGTACCGTTCCTCATGTCCTGTCCCTCCTGATTCTGTTCTATCCTTGTCTGTCCAGTAGCATTCCTCGTGCCCTGTCCCTCCCGATTCTGTTCTATCCTTGTCTGTCCAGTAGCGTTCCTCATGTCCTGTCCCTCCCGATTCTGTTATGTCCTTGTCTGTCCTGTACCTTTCCTCATGTCCTGTCCCTCCCGATTCTGTTTTGTCCTTGTCTGTCCTGTACCGTTCCTCGTGTCCTGTCCCTCCCGATTCTGTTCTATCCTTGTTTGTCCTGTACCGTTCCTCATGTCCTGTCCCTCCTGATTCTGTTCTGTCCTTGTCTGTCCTGTACCGTTCCTCATGTCCGGTCCCTCCCGATACTGTTCTATCCTTGTCTGTTCTGTACCGTTCCTCATATCCTGTCCCTTCCGATTCTGTTCTATCCTTGTCTGTCCAGTAGCGTTCCTCATGTCCTGTCCCTCCCGATTCTGTTATGTCCTTGTCTGTCCTGTACCTTTCCTCATGTCCTGTCCCTCCCGATTCTGTTTTGTCCTTGTCTGTCCTGTACCGTTCCTCGTGTCCTGTCCCTCCCGATTCTGTTCTATCCTTGTTTGTCCTGTACCGTTCCTCATGTCCTGTCCCTCCTGATTCTGTCCCGGCCTTGTCTGTCCTGTACCGTTCCTCATGTCCTGCCCCTCCCGATTCTGTTCTGTCCTTGTCTGTCCTGTACCGTTCCTCATGTCCTGTTCCTCCCGATTCTGTTCTATCCTTGTCTGTCCTTGTCTGTCCTGTACCGTTCCTTATGTCCTGTCCCTCCCGATACTGTTCTATCCTTGTCTGTCCTTGTCTGTCCTGTACCGTTCCTCATGTCCTGTCCCTCCTGATTCTGTCCCGCTCTTGTCTGTCCTGTACCGTTCCTCATGTCCTGTTCCTCCCGATACTGTTCTATCCTTGTCTGTCCTTGTCTGTCCTGTACCGTTCCTCATGTCCTGTCCCTCCCGATACTGTTCTATCCTTGTCTGTTCTGTACCGTTCCTCATTTCCTGTTCCTCCCGATTCTGTGTCATTACTATTACGGTAGTGTCTTCATTTCTTAACAGATGATAATCATACTTTAGATGAGTTATTATTTCAGGATTCAGTGGTCAAGTCTGGTATCATCATAGCTATTTATAGAAATTCAACTTAATAATAAGCTTAAGTTTGCTTGCGAGTTGGAGCAGTCATTTTCAAGTTTTACTTCTTTTGACAGGTGACTTGTCAAGCTTAGAAGATAACCGATCATGGAAGTCAGAAGCTGAGGATGTCCTAGGCCCCTCCCTCAGTGATGATTTGGTGAGTCTGGCTGCCAGCGGGGAGGACACATCACTACCCGATCGATGGGACGCGGTGAAGCCAGATCAATGTACCACAACTGGACAACAGATTGAGGCAGCAGACCATGAAGGTCAAGGCCAGGTTGGTACGGAAACATGTGCAGAAAGGCAGCCTTTATTTATAGGAGGACCACAGCCAGCTGTAAGCTCACTGCAGACAACTTCTTTATTTGCTTCAATACTAAGTGTTAAACAACAGTTTCATATACATTCGGGGATTCTGAAGACTAATGTCCTAGGCATGATGGCTCAGAGCTCCATGTTTCTACAGGAAGTAAGAACAGATCAGCACAAACAGGATGATGATGTTGACTGAGACTTTTAATGCAATCATCTAGTGGAAATTGAAATTCTTAAGAGCGTGGCAGCTTTTATTTATCATGTTCTGATGGCTGAACCAGAGTTGTTCATTTATGAAAAAGGAACAGACCTATTGATTCGATGTTACTTTCTGGCGAGCCTTGGCAAGGACTTTCAAGGCCTGCATTAAGGTCAATCAGCCTGTATTATGGAAAAATACATTTAAAAATAGACAAACGGTCTGTCTACATAAACTGACAGGCCCTGGTAGTTTTAACAATTCAAACACGTATACATTTATAATGTGCAAGGGCATGATACACAGGTGTAGATCAATGGTATGTGTGCCCAACGGGTAGTGGTGTTGTTACCTGAACTTACTAAAGACTGTGATGAGACAAAAAGATGGTAACTTACCTTGTGGGCTGGTATTGAAGTGTATTTCAAGAAAAAGGAAGTGTAAAGAGTTTTGAAAACTGGGAATATATATATTCACTCCTAAACATTGATACGGTTTAGCCCGTTGATATTTCTAATAGTTTCCTGTTTTCTGTATCTGATGAATTATAGGACGGGTATTCTCCAATACAGTGTAACAAATTTCCGATTCTCTTTCGGTCGAAAACCAGGCCTGGTTTACAGAAAAAGTCCTCCTACCTTATGTAAATAATATGTAACAGATTTAGGATCCTAGTTGTATCCAAAGATAAAGACTGTCCATTGTATGGGTTTTGTAGAGTTTTTCTTGATATTGTTTGCAACATATAACAGATATGTTTTTGTTTTTTTGAAATATTATTTCAATTTTTTTTCTCAGATATGTTATATATTCAACATCTATTTTTTAACATGTTTGTGATTTTGTTCTTGTTATGTCATTCTTTAGTGAAATTGTGAAATTATTCAACATATATGCAACAAGAAAAAATAACGATCAAGGGATCAACCTAAATGCAAAAATACATATATTTTCTACTGTAAATTAAGAAGTAACTATTTTTTCTCCATCTTGCTTAAGTAAGGTAGATGTAATTGTTTCATGCTTAAAATTGGTTTTTTTAATGATAAAGGAGCAAATTGACTTGACAATATGACAAATTTCACTGTCGGTCTGACACATCAATTATCATCTTATACCTCTTATGTATTTGTATATCATTTTAAGTAAATAACATTCTTCAGATCGAGTGCCTATATTGGACCATACTGTTGTTATGTCTTATGAGACTTTTTTAGTATTTATATAGGTTTTACTTAAACATGGAAGTTCTTGTCTTCGGGAATGTTAGCATTGTGATTGTGTAAAGCGATTATGATGTTGATATTTTTTTTCGCATTGACGATATGGGTCATAAATTCTTATTTTGTAAATATCTATATTCTATAAACATATAATATTTGGGAGTGCACATGTTTGCACATATTTGCTGAACGTGATAATTTTAAATGAGAACATTTCCACTTTTACAGTATATTATATAATTTTATATATAAAAATCATATTTTGTCAAATTAGTGTGATAAAATATATTTAGCTGTCCTGAATCTTTTCATCTTTAATATTTTGCTCATTTGTTGTCAAAGAAGTCCATAAGTTAACAAACTGATGAGTTTTAAGTACTACAATATATATCAATTTGGTGTCATAGATAACGATATGTTATACTTGTGCATACAATTTTGAATTGTTTAATCATTTATCATGGATGACAGCATTGATTTTTTTGCTCAAATTTTAAAAGCAAAAATTAAGCATCTTTAATTTTTTGTAACACATACAGCCTTGTGACAACTTACTCACGTTATGAGATACAGTTATCTTCAGTGGGAGTATTTTAATTTAGGGATGAAGATGCATTGTTAGCTCCTCCTTGCTACTACCATCTGTTTTGCTGGACAAATGTGGCAGCAGAACTAAGTTTTACATTATGGGCAAATCAAATCAAGATCATAACTTTTAACAGCTTCATAAAATGTCTCATCTGCCACCTGGTTTACCATATTTAACCCCTTTATAATACCACTTTTTTGCTGGGGCAATACTGACAGCATCCTTGTAATTCCAGGGGTTAAACTCACTCATGCTCTCTTCACCCCTGGAATATGTCATGACAAATTTAAAGACACTGCGTTTGCTATTTGATTGATATAAGGTATGAAAAACTGACCAATCACTCCTTGAAAGATTACAGAGGAATGACACCGGCCAATTCCATCATTTATCTGCCACACAATTCTTTTGATGTTCATTTAAGGATCAGACTAGCCAACATGTATCATCCGTAAGGTGACGCATACAAAGCCTTCAATTTTGTCGTGACATATTCCAGGGGTCCAGAGAACATAAATGAGCATAACCACTGGAGTATTGAGGAGTAATGACAGTAGATGTTACATACTAGGTATTCCTAGTGTATAACAGTTTCCAATATGTAAAAAGTGAACTTGTACCAACAGGTATCTGAATGTAGTTAATTAGTTTTATTTATATCACAATAAATTAGCAAACAATAAAGACAAAATTATAAGTTAATTACAAAAATATTTATTTCAATTTAATTAACATTATTGTAAGAAAATTTGTGAACAAGAACAAAGAATTAAATTCTTTATTACAAAAGTAACAAATAACAGGATAATCATGATGAAAAAATAAATTAATGAAATCATCAATATCGTGATTTTTACTTTAATCTGTTGCATGTTTGATGAGAAGTATCATGATAAGGGGAGGTAACTCATTGGCCAATAAGAGGCAGTAACTATAAACACTTAGACATTAAAGTATCAAGGTCTTTCTCATGTAAGCTATAGGAGATTTGAATTTGAATTTGAATACATAGTAGCAAAGCAATGTACTTTCTACAACTTGTTATTTAATTCAGATGTTTGTGCTTCATACTTTTTAATGTTAAATAAGTCAAACATTGACCAATGATGTAACATTAGTTACTCTTTTACATTGTGATACACATTTTTAAGCAGTGCTAAAATATTTCTGACGCTTTTGTGTGGTTTGGTGTAATTTATCTTGGCATTTAATTTTTAGAAAAAAGTAATAACTAAATATGACTCTGTTTTGTTTATTTTGGAAGTGTTTGCTACAAAGTATAATAAGATTGATTTTTTTTTTTAAATATATATATATATACATATATATGTGTGCAATAAAATATGAGTTTTAACATAATGTTAAGTGTAATTGTGCACTACTTGTATGTAGGTTTCATAAATAACAAACTAAAGTGCCATATTATATTTCATTTCATGCAATGAAATGATAAAAGAGTGTTATTTTCTGACTGTTTAATACAGAAGTATTAGATACTTAGTGTAATGTATGATAATTCCAATCAATGCTGAAGTGTTACAAAGTAACAACATCCTAAAGTTACTGTCAATGTTGAAGTGTTACAAAGTAACAACATCCTAAAGTTACTGTCAATGTTAGAGTGTTACAAAGTAACAAACCTTAGCAAGTTACTGTCAATGTTGAAGTATTACAAAGTAACAACATTACCAAGTTACTGTCAATGTTGAAGTATTACAAAGTAACAACACTACCAAGTTACTGTAAATGTTGAAGTATTACAAAGTAAAAACACTACCAAGTTACTGTCAATGTTGAAGTATTACAAAGTAACAAACCTTACCAAGTTACTGTCAATGTTAAAGTGTTACAAAGTAACAACATCCTAAAGTTACTGTCAATGTTGAAGTGTAACAAACCTTACCAAGTTACTGTCAATGTTGAAGTGTTACAAAGTAACAAACCTTACCATGTTACTGTCAATGTTGAAGTGTTACAAAGTAACAAACACTACCAAGTTACTGTCAATGTTGAAGTATTACAAAGTAACAAACCTTACCATGTTACTTATGTTAAAGTGACACTAAATAACAACAATCCCGAGTTGTATTCAATGTTTCAGTGAAGCTAGAAATGTTTTATATGCAACGGCAAAATCCTTTGGAGCTTCAAATTGGGGATAGTGGCCAACATTCGACTCCAACACTGTTATGCTTGGGTTTGGAACATTATTTCTGAAAGAAAATTGATAACAGTTGAATTAAATTTGTGTTTCACACAGAATTTAGACAAAATTGTTTTGTGTTCTTGTATGGTCTAACTATATGCATCAGATTTTTATGTGAACTTCTGTTTTACTTTCTTTAAATTTTAATTTTCTCTTTAATGTGGTAGTGTAAGACTATCATCTTGTAGAAACTGAAATTCAATCAATTAAATGTAGTTGAATGGTTGTGGATAATGTTTTTACTGTATTTGTCACACCATGTACTTTAATTACTGGTTATTAATTTGGTTAATAAAGTGGATTTAAATTGTCAAATAGCAGGAGGTGTGCATTAATCGAAACAATTGTACATGACAAATCCTTTGTAAAAAGCAGTTTTCAAAACTGACCTAACCTATAAATAGACTCTCTGGTCATCAAGTCAGAAGAAGTGTAAATGTTCACAGAGTATTCCCACTGCTACTGTTAAACACTGTAATAGGGTAATGCAAGATAGACAGAAGGCAAAAACTGAGAGACAGCATGAAAATGTCATGAATTGATCTCTAAGTTGAATGACCTATTTGTTCCTATGGAGTGAAAGGCCTATGTTGATGTATTACGACATTATCATTACATTGCAATTGAAATAATTTGCGTTCAATGTTACCTGTGTCTTGATCACGCACTTATAGATAGAACTGTGTTATAACTTCTGTTCAATGTTACCTGTGTCATGATCACGTACTTATAGATAGAACTGTGTTATAATTTCTGTTCAATATAACCTGTGTCTTGATCATGTACTTAAAAGAACTGTGATATAATTTGCGTTCAATGTTACCTGTGTTGATCACTTACTTATAGAACTGAATGAAGGCTGGTGGGTTGATCACATCGGCTGGTCCATAAATCATGTGAACTACAAAGTAATATAACAACTGTTACAGCAAGCACAAACTTGACACATGTTATAAATATTGTATATGGATTGTTTGTTAAATTATGATACTGGATACCTGTTATATTTACTGGTTACTTGCTGGTATAATTTTAATCCTATTTACTGGGTACAATAAAGTCTAATTTTAATCATATTTCTGGGCACAAACCAGTAGAATTTTAATCATATTGGATGATTGCAAAATTCTATTTTCTGTAAGAGTGACCTTATTTGATTATACTGACAAGTTAAATTCCAGTATGTGTAAACAAAATGTACTCGCATTGCATTAAAATTGCACAATTGTGTCAACTAGGAAATGGCATTTTAAATAAGAATGGTTATGTCCTGATTTGCCTTGTGATACAAAGTTAACCAGTATACCTTGTGTTAATTATTATCATATTGAGGAGGATGGTGATTTTATTTTTCATGATGATGTTATCGGAGGAATACATTATTTCATTTCATGTAATTGGCTTTTGATTTTTTTCTTGTATATTTTTTTTAAAGAATTGAAAACAGATAAAAGGTGTTTTATTAATATTTTTTATTCCAGCCACAAGAATGCTCAGCTACAGATGTAATTAATTGTAGTTATTGCCAGCTCGAGGGAAATTTATTGGCAGACTAGTTTCAGTTCTGAAGTAATTAGGACTTCATTGGTCCTGATAAAACCTCGCTAGTCCAAATTTGTTGGCCAAAAAATACCACTTAAGACGGTGACAACCGTGTTACAAAAGGAATTCCTCTACTTATAATATGTTCACGTATTTGATACCAATCATCCTGTTTACCCTTCAGTATCCATACTCAGAGCGAGGCACACAACTGATTTACCCACATATACAGCTCATCAAATGTAGGCTCTCCATTTTTATTTTGACATTTATCTTTGTTTTCTGAATTGTAAAATGAGAAATTTAAATTTGGAAGTCTCTAGTTTGAACATGAAAATAACTTGCATGGCATTCCAGTGTATCCTGGGAGACTTACTATTCTAACGAAAGGAGTATTTCTCTGTAACCTGGAACCGTGGCGATTAGTTGGAGGGAGACTATTCCGTCTTTTGTTATCGCAGAGTTTTCTGCTATTGTGAGCAGGTATTGATTGTTACGTCATTAGTTTGTGTGAGAAAATTACGTCTTTTTCTTAAAAATTGATGATGTTACTCTAACAAGCAAATGAAGTAACAATCAATACCTGCTCACAAGAGCAGATAACTCTGCAATACGAAAAGACGGAATAGTGTGGCCATGTACTGTATAATTATAGGAGTATTTCTCTATACCTGGATTTTTGGCAATCAGCCTGAGGGAACAAGTGCTGCCCTATACTGTTCATTAAATGTTTGGGTTTTAATCCATGTCCGCAGCATAATGGTTGTGCCACTCTCTCTGAGAATAATCTATGGTTGTGCCACTCTCTCTGAGAATAATCTGGTGTGATTTGAATGCATTGTACAATTATTTGGATTATTTCCCCTTACCTCGAACTCTTGTGGTCTGCAGGGCACCTACCCACCTATCTCTGTACATAGACCGCTCACTGATGTAGTTGAGGAGGCTGTAAAGGATGAGGTTATCAGGTAAACAGGTGTGGGATACAGTAGGATGTGATGGCATCAGACAAATGTTTCATTCTCAGAGTGTACCAGTATTTGATGTACAGGGTCAAACTTTAAATTTTGGGACATATTTTGAGAGTTTATTACTGACTTAGTAAAACAGGTGACCTCATAATATAACTTTCCACTTAGAACTGACCCCTAGCTGTCTTGGTGAATAGTGAGTGTGCTTTCCACTGCACCACCTGACCAACCACTTATGACTTTGGTAAAACAAAAAATATCAATTTTCTATTTATACAAACATAGTTCATGTACCAATGAAGTTTACCTTTGACCTTCGGACCTGAAAAGCTATGATAAGCAAGTACTTTCAGTATGGAACACTATGAAATCTGAGTTTGTTTGTCCCAAAAGAACTGAGTTGTAATGCACAGAAATGAAGGGGAAATGGGCATTACTACATATTCCTCCCAATCTTGACAAAGGGATACAAAACACTTGGTAATACTTGTGTCTGAAAAGTTACATGAACATGATAACTACCCACTACACATCATACCGTAGTCTTGGTTGATAATTATTTTCTTAATCCTTTTAAAGCTTATTTTGAAAACTACATTGTTAAAAATAAGTTATCATATTCTTTGTCCAACATACCTAGCTATAATCAGTATTAGTTAGCTTTATTTGATTCAACTAACATAACAAGCATAAAATAGTTACTTTTTTGTCATTTTATTGTGTATTTTACTGCATGCAAAATGATCATTGAAAAAGATTCTCACCGACTATCTGCCAGATTTCCATCTTTGTGAAGTTTTATGGAAAAAAAGTCATCCATCTCTTCGTCTGAAGGAGGAACTCCAAATACATTTCTAAACCTTTCAAAAAAGTAGATGGAATTTTTATAGACAATATATAAAGACATGACTGTAAAAGTATTCAAATCAGCTGACTCACTGTCGTTTTTTAAATCTCCAGGACTCCTAGATTTCTGTTCATTGCAGATTGCTCAAGTGTACCTCTTGACCTTGATTTTAACAGATTATAATCACACCAGGAATCTGACCACAAGTCTTTCATTTTCTTGGTTAGTCAATTATCAGTCATATACTTTTTTTTCAATTAAAAGATTTAAACATATGACTCCTGTGACCTTGAAAGTCGAACAAGGATATTAAGTTGAACGGACTTTATAGCCTTTCATCCCAGCTTGCTTCTTTTGGTTATTCAGAAGTTCTTTAAAGATTTCAACCTATTTGACCCCTGTGACCTTGAATATAACTCAAGGTCATTCATTTGGAATAGGTTGCTAATCCTTTATCCCAGCATGCTACTGACCAAATATCATCTCACTGGTCCATTTGGTTATAAAGGAAAAGTAGTTTACAGTTTTCAACATATTTTACCCCTTTGACCTTGAACATATATAACTCAAGGTCAGTCATTTGAACTAACTTGGTAGCCCCTCATCCCAGCATGCATGTAGCTGGCCAAATATAAACACCCTAGACTTCTTAGTAATTCAGAAGAAGTTGTTTAAAGTTTTCAAACATATTTGACCCCTGTGACTTTCAATATATCAAGTTCATTCATTTGAGCAAACTTGGAAGCCCTTCATCTAAGCATGCTACTGGCCAAATATCATCCTAGGCTTTTTGGTTGTTAAGAAGAGGCTGATTACAGTTTTCAACATATTTTACCCCTGTCACCTTGAATATAAGTCAAGGTTATTCATTTAAACAAATTTGGTAGTCCTTAATCCTGGCATGTTACTTGCCAAATAGTATTGCCCTAGGCCTCTTGGTTATTCAGAAGAACTTGTTTAAAGGTTTTAAACATATTTGACCCCTGTGACCATGAATTTCAGTCAAGGTCATTCATTTGAACAAACTTAGTAGCCCTTCATCCTTGCATGCTACTGGCCAAATATCATCATCCTTGGCCTTTTGATTATATTGTGAAGAAATTGTTTAACTAAGTAAAGCTAAATGTGTTAAATAGCTTTACTGACTTGCACTGTCTCAGAGGATACAATTATAGTTATCATGTACCGTTACCAGGATTCAAACCCAGAACCTCTTAAGAGAGACGCTCTATCTACTGAGCTATCTGGTCTCAAGCAATTAACCCAACAACTACATATACTTACCTCATTTTGAAGATGAATTTGAAGTAGAATAGTTTTGATATCACTGGCCCAACCACAGAGTTCTTCATTATCTGTTGGTATGAAATTTAAGTAAATTACAAAGATTGTCAGTGTTGATTATATGCACTTCCCATGTAAGTTCTTTATATGGTATATCAATAATCTCTTCTGTCCTGATGATTTTGCCCTCATTGCAGAAGGCAAGCAAAGGAGAAAGTTAAAATGCAGCGAAAACAGTAGTACCCGGGTACATGTATATGCTTCAGTTATCGTAACTAGTCACTTATAAGTTCAGGTAAGCTGTGATGTGCTGCAAAATGTCATACATGTATACGCTTATTAATAGTTATATGTAAAGATCAAAGACCTCTGAAATAAACAGTTACATGATTTTGTAATCTTGCTGTTTGGAGCTGAAAGTTTTTGCATGTATATGATTACCAGAACTTTTTTGAGGTGTTGTATCATTCAGTTGTATTGTTTGTTGTTTTTTCACTAGTAAAACAGATACGGAGCTAATATGGATCAGAGCAACTGTAAGATACTGAAGAAGGGTAAAAAGACATCCATGATCATTGAAAAAAATATTTTTTGTACACTTGGTCATAAACAGGAGAGGCAAAATGGATGAACTGTTTCAAATAAAACTATTGATGCAAAAACAAATCTATGTTGTGCTACTTACCCACTGTATAGGCATTGGGTGGTTTGTCTCTGGAAATATACCTACAAATAGCAAACAGACAGAGTTTGAAAAGTTTCATAAAATAATAAATCACATAGTAAGGGTGTACTTTATCCATCATATATATTTATCACGTACATGTATCAGTAATACACTGTATTTCAAAAAGTGAATTGTATAGATGTTTTTTTTCTGTTTTTGTTTTGTTTAAATTTTGTGTTTTTATTTGTTAACATACATGGTATGAGTTAACAGGTCAAATGAGTCCAAATTATTTGTATATCAACATCAGTTATGAGCTAACAATTCAGTTTAAAGTTAATTTTACATTTGATAATGACAGTTTTAAGAAACATTTCCGAACTCAAACTTTAATTATACTGTTATCTGAGTCTCTTTTATAATAATGGTAGCATTCATAACAATTTCACATATTAATTAAAAAGAGAGTTAAAGATAAGAATCCTTTACACACCTCCATTAGAGAGACAAAGCGACTGAATATTTATCCTTCCGTCACCTTTGTTGTGCCTGAAATAAAACAGGTTTTTCATTATGGTGTTAAAGTTACAGTCAAATCATTAACATGTGATATACAAACATTTCAAATGAACTACTGAATGACCAGCTTGTCGAAAAGAATTATCAGACATTTTAAATTGATGAAAAATTACATGCTAAAAAACCACATTATACTCAAATACATTAAATCATATCACGTTTCATTTTGGCCATTACTCTATATATATAGTGGGGCAAAAAACCTGTTCAGTGCGAGAGTTCCGCCTTCCCAACATACATAAATATGGTAAGTTTGGTCAACATAGGTGAAATAACATGGAACTTATGCTCCGGACAAACTTCGGTATTAAAAATATACAAGAGGCCCAAGGGTCTTAGCGGTCACATGAGTTATATCATAGGTACTGGTAGCTTTATTTTTTTGTTTGGATGTGATGTGGAAATCAGCATGTAAACTAAGTGAAATACAATACTTGTCATGTCATCAAAGGATAAGAATTTGAAAATATCGGTAAATGTTCCCTTTGAGGCCCTGCCCTAGATCCTGGGGTTCGGGCAGGAATCCTAATTTTACAATTTAATACCCTCATTCACCAAAGATAATTCTGACTAAGTTTAAGTAATTTTCTGCTGAAAACGGATAAAATATACCCAAAAGTGTTATTTCCTTTATAAACTGTAGTAAACTTTATCCCCTCCCCAAGGGAGAACGGATAAGCCCCTGATGATCTTTCTTTTTATGCACTGAAATTGAATGTAGTACCTCCGAGTCTGGAGAAGAAGATTTTTGAAATATTGGTTAATTTTCCCTTTGGGGCCACACCCTGGCCCCAGGGGTCGGGGTAGGAATTCCAATTTTACAATTTGAAACCATCTTCCTCCAAGAATAATTCTCACCAAGTGAAAATAATTTCCTACAGAAAGTTGTCAAAAGATACCCAAAAGTGTTATTTCCCTATATATACCTATAGTAAACTTAACCCCCACCCCAAGGGAGAACAGATATCTTGGGGGGTCCTGAAATTTACAATTTAAATAAAGCCCCTGATTATCTTTCTTTCCATGCAAAGAAAATACTGTAGTACCTCGAAGTCTGGAGAAGAAGATTGTTGAAATATTGGTTAATTTTCCCTTTGGGGTCCCCCCCTGGCCCCAGGGGTTGGGGTAGGAATCGCAATTTTACATTTGAAACCATCTTCCTCCAAGGATAATTCTCACCAAGTAAAAATAATTTCCTATAGAAAGTTGTCAAAATATACCCAAAAGTGTTATTTCCCTATAAAAACTATAGCAATTAAAGCTCAGGTGATTTAACAAAGGGCAAAAACTCTGTATATAGTGGGGCATGAGACCTAATTCCATTGCACTGCAAACCTTCTGTGGGTGATGCAGGTATACTTCAAGTTTGATCAAGATATCTTTAATATGGTTTAAAATTTACGGGCCGGACAATAATTTACTGAAAATGTTGCACTTATTTGACCTTTGACCTTGAGGTGAAGTTCACAGTGACCTAATTCCAGTGCACTACACACCTTCTATGGGTGATGCAGGTATACTTTAAGTTTGATTAAGATATATTAAATGGTTTAGAAGTTATGCCATGGACTAACTTAGATATAAAAACAAACCAAAGGGCCATTACTCTATATATAGTGGGGCACAAAACCTGATTTCAGTGCGAGAGATTCCGCCTTCCTAAGATACATGAATATGGTAAGTTTGGTCAATGTAGGTGAAATAACATGGAACTTATACTCTGGACAAACTTCGGTATTAAAAATAAACAAAGGGCCATAACTCTGTATATAGAGGGGCACATTACCTAATTCAAGTGCACTGCAAACTTTTTGTGGGTGATGCAGGTATACTTCAAGTTTGATCAGATATCTTTAACGGTTTAAAATGTACGGGCCGGTCAATAATTTACTGAAAATGTTGCACTTATTTGACCTTTGACCTTGAGGTGAAGTTCACAGTGACCTAATTCCAGTGCACTGCACACCTTCTGTGGGTGATGCATGCATATCTCAAGTTTCATCAAGATATCTTAAACGGTTTAAAAGTTATGGCCTGGACAAGTTGTGATTAGAAGAAGAAGAAGAACCAGAAGAAGAACCAGTACTAATACAATATGTCTCCCTTCATTCCAGGAGGAGACATAAATAGGCACATTAAATTGATATGTACTTGATAAAACTGGCAAAAGGACATTTACACATGTACTCGGTTTATTATATCTACAAACTTGGTTAGGAGGTGGTAGAGAAAAAGTCAATCATTATGTAGGTATATGGATATTTTAACCTCGGGTGCAAAATTATGTGTAAGAACCAAGGCACAGCCTCAGTTCGATTGTGACCCAAATTCTTCACCCTTTAGTAGATTATCCATATCCCACATATAGACTCTACTGCTCCTCTATAGGAGTTGAGAGTCTTGAGTACCAACCCGTCTCTGATAGTATAATAGCTGTTTGTCTGCTCTTCTAAAGGGCTTGTCAGTTTCCTGTAATTACCTGGCAAGAAGTTCCAGGGCCACAGTGTCCCCGTAGTCATGTGACAGGATATGGGCCTGGGTGACACCAAGCTTTAGCAGCAAGGCCTCACCAATGTCTGTTTGTTCCGAAATCGTAAAGGCATGACTCAACTGTCCGAACACATTAAATCACTGTTACAATGTTTTAATGTAAATTGTGAAAGTTGAACAGTCACATTAATGTTTTCTGCTTCATTATAATTCAGTCTTATTATATAGTGCATATTAGTTATATTTAATTCACATAAATAACTTGTTTCTTAAATACAAAATTCAAATCTGTCTCACATATAACTGCCAAACTATTTAACCATTAAAATGATCTGGCTTTTAAAAATCCAACAGTGAACACAGTCTGATTCATCATTTTGTATTATTACATCCTCAAAGCTCAAGAGGTTATAAATTACTGTATGCTCGTTTAATACATTGTCTGCTTCCCTGGAATATGTCATGACAAAATCGAAGGCACCAGGCTGGTTATTTCACTGGTTTAAGGTGAAAAAAACTAACTAATTGAGAAGTGGAGATAGTCTGACCCTACCCTGTTGTAATCTATCAGGTGAGAAGTGGATAGTCTCTGACCCTACCCTGTTGTATTCTATCAGGTGAGTAGTGGAGAGAGTCAGACCCTACCCTGTTGTATTCCATCAGGTGAGTAGTGGATAGAGTCTGACCCTACCCTGTTGTAATCTATCATGTGAGCTGTTGTAATCTATCAGGTGAGTAGTGGATAGAGTCTGACCCTACCCTGTTGTAATCTATCAGGTGAGTAGTGGATAGATTCCGACCCTACCCTGTTGTAATCTATCATGTGAGTAGTGGATAGAGTCTGACCCTACCCTGTTGTAATCTATCAGGTGAGTAGTGGATAGAGTTGGACCCTACCCTGATGTAATCTATCATGTGAGTAGTGGAGAGAGTCAGACCCTACCCTGTTGTATTCTATCAGGTGAGTAGTGCATAGAGTCTGACCCTACCCTGTTGTAATCTATCAGGTGAGTAGTGGATAGAGTCTGACCCTACCCTGTTGTAATCTATTAGGTTAGAAGTGGATAGAGTCTGACCCTACCCTGTTGTAATCTATCAGGCTAGAAGTGGATAGAGTCTGACCCTACCCTGTTGTATTCTATCAGGCGAGAAGTGGATAGAGTCTGACCCTACCCTGTTGTAATCTATCATGTGAGTAGTGGAAAGAGTCAGACCCTACCCTGTTGTAAACTATCATGTGAGTAGTGGAGAGAGTCAGACCCTACCCTGATGTGATCTATCAGGTGAGTAGTGGATATAGTCAGACCCTACCCTGTTGTAAACTATCATGTGAGTAGGAGAGTCAGACCCTACCCTGATGTGATCTATCAGGTGAGTAGTGGAGAGAGTAAGACCCTACCCTGTTGTATTCTATAAGGTGAGTAGTGGATAGAGTCTGACACTACCCTGATGTAATCTATCATCAGGTGAGTAGTGGATAGAGACAGACCCTACCCTGTTGTAATCTCTCAGGTGAGAAGTGGATAGACTCTGACCCTACCCTGTTGTATTCGATCAGGTGAGTAGTGGAGAGAGGCAGACCCTACCCTGTTGTAAACTATCATGTGAGTAGGAGAGTCAGACCCTACCCTGATGTGATCTATCAGGTGAGTAGTGGATAGGGTCTGACCCTACCCTGATGTAATCTATCTGTAATCTATCAGGTGAGTAGGGGATAGGGTCAGACCCTACCCTGTTGTATTCTATTAGGTGAGAAGTGGATAGAGTCGGGCCCTACCCTGTTGTAATCTATAAGGTGAGTAGTGGATAGAGACTGACACTACCCTGTTGTAATCTATCAGTGTAATCTATCAGGTGAGTAGCGGATAGAGTCAGACCCTACCCTGCTGTAATCTATCAGGCGAGAAGTGGATATAGTCTGACCTTACCCTGTTGTAATCTATCAGACGAGAAGTGGGTAGAGTCTGACCCTACCCTGTTTTAATCTATCAGGTGAGAAGTGGATGGAGTCGGACCCTACCCTGTTGCAATCTATCATGTGAGTAGTGGAGAGATTCAGACCCTACCCTGATTTAATCTATCAGGTGAGTAGTGGAGAGAGGCAGACCCTACCCTGTTGTAATCTATCCGGTGAGTAGTGGATAGAGTCAGCCCCTACCCTGTTGTAATCCATCAGGTGAGAAGTGGATAGACTCTGACCCTACCCTGTTGTATTCTATCAGGGGAGTAGTTGAGAGAGTAAGACCCTACCCTGTTGTATTCTATTAGGTGAGAAGTGGATAGAGTCTGGTAGTGGATAGCGTCTGACCCTAACCTGTTGTAATCTATCAGGTGAGAAGAGGATAGAGTCTGACCCTACCCTGATGTAATCCATCAGACGAGAAGTGGATAGAGGCTGACCCTACCCTGTTGTAATCTATAAGGTGAGTAGTGGATAGAGACTGACACTACCCTGTTGTAATCTATCATGTGAGGAGTGGAAAAAGCCAGTCCCTACCCTGTTGTAAACTATCATGTGAGTAGGAGAGTCAGACCCTACCCTGATGTAATCTATCAGGGGAGTAGTGGATAGAGGCAGACCCTACCCTGTTGTAATCTCTCAGGTGAGAAGTGGATAGACTCTGACCCTACCCTGTTGTATTCTATCATGTGAGTAGTGGATAACGTCTGAAAATACCCTGTTGTAATCTATCAGGGGAGAAGTGGATAGAGTTGGACCCTACCCTGTTGTAATCCATCAGGTGAGTAGTGGATAGAGTTTGACCCTACCCTGTTGTAATCTACCAGGTGAGTAATGGATAGAGGCAGACCCTACCCTGTTGTAAACTATCATGTGAGTAGGAGAGTCAGACCCTACCCTGATGTGATCTATCAGGTGAGTAGTGGATCGAGTCAGACCCTACCCTGTTGAAATCTATCAGGTGTGAAGTGGATAGACTCTGACCCTACCCTGTTGTATTCGATCAGGTGAGTAGTGGAGAGAGGCAGACCCTACCCTGTTGTAATCTATCGGGTGAGTAGTGGATAGAGTCAGCCCCTACCCTGTTGTAATCTATTAGTTTAGAAGTGGATAGAGTCTGACCATACCCTGTTGTAATCTATCATGGGAGTAGTGGAAAGAGTCAGACCCTCCCCTGTTGTAATCCATCATGTGAGTAGTGGAGAGAGTAAGACCCTACCCTGTTGTAATCCATCAGGTGAGAAGTGGATAGAGCCGGACCCTACCCTGTTGTAATTTATCAGGTGAGTAGTGGATAAAGTCTGACCCTACCCTGATGTATTCTATCAGGTGAGTAGTGGAGAGAGTAAGACCCTACCCTGTTGTAATCCATCAGGTGAGAAGTTGATAGAATCTGACCCTACCCTGTTTTATTCTATCAGGTGAGAAGTGGATGGAGTCGGACCCTACCCTGTTGCAATCTATCATGTGAGTAGTGGAGAGATTCAGACCCTACCCTGATTTAATCTATCAGGTGAGTAGTGGAAAGAGTCAGACCCTCCCCTGTTGTAATCCATCATGTGAGTAGTGGAGAGAGGCAGACCCTACCCTGTTGTAAACTATCATGTGAGTAGTGGAGAGAGCCAGACCCTACCCTGATGTAATCTATCATGTGAGTAGTGGATAGCGTCTGACCCTACCCTGTTGTAATCTATCAGACGAGAAGTGGATAGAGTCTGACCCTACCCTGATGTAATCTATCATGTGAGTAGTGGATAGAGTCAGACCCTAACCTGTTGTAATCTATCATGTGAGTACTGGATAGAGTCTGACCCTACCTTGTTGTATTCTATCAGGTGAGAAGTTGATAGAGTCTGACCCTACCCTGTTGTAATCTATCATGTGAGTAGTGGATAGAGTCAGACCCTACCCTGTTGTAATCTATCATGTGAGTACTGGATAGAGTCTGACCCTACCCTGTTGTATTCTATCAGGTGAGAAGTGGATAGAGTCGGACCCTACCCTGTTGTAATCTATCAGGTGAGAAGTGGATAGAGTTGGACCCTACCCTGTTGTATTCTATCAGGTGAGAAGTGGATAGAGTCTGACCCTACCCTGTTGTAATCTATCATGTGAGTAGTGGATAGAGTCTGACCCTACCCTGTTGTAATCTATCAGGTGAGAAGTGGATAGAGTCTGACCCTACCATGTAACATAATCTATCGGGTGAGAAGTGGATAGAATCTGACCCTACCCTGTTGTAATCTATCAGGCGAGAAGTTGATAGAGTCTGACCCTACCCTGTTGTAATCTATCAGGTGAGTAGTGGATAGAATCTGACCCTACCCTGTTGTAATCTATCAGGTGAGAAGTGGAGAGAGTCTGACCCTACCCTGTTGTAATCTATCAGACGAGAAGTGGATAGAGTCTGACCCTACCCTGATGTAATCTATCAGGTGAGTCGTGGATAGAGTCCGACTTTACCATGTAACATAATCTATCAGGTGAGTAGTGGATAGAGTCTTACCCTTCCCTGTTGTAATCTATCAGGCGAGAAGTGGATAGAGACTGACCCTGCCCTGTTGCTAGGTATCTTCACACATCAGCTCACCCAATATTGAAAGAGTAGATATATGGCTCATACTTCAACTGTATAAAAGCATTACCGGTTTGTCACTGAACCCGAAGCCCAGGAGATCGTACATCACAACTTGACCAAACTCATCCTTCAGATATAGAGTCTGACCCTACCCTGTTGTTATCTATCAGGAGAGAAGTGGATAGAGTCTGACCCAACCCTGTTGTAATCTATCAGGTGAGTAGTGGATAGAGTCAGACCCTTCCCTGTTGTAATCTATCATGTGAGTAGTGGAGAGAGTCAGACCCTACCCTGTTGTATTCTATCAGGTGAGTAGTGGATAGAGTCTGACCCTACCATGTAACATAAACTATCGGGTGAGAAGTGGATAGAATCTGACCCTACCCTGTTGTAATCTATCAGGTGAGTAGTGGATAGCGTCTGCCCCTACCCTGTTGTAATCTATCAGGTGAGTAGTGGAGAGAGTCAGACCCTACCCTGTTGTATTCTATCAGGTGAGTAGTGGAGAGAGTCAGACCCTACCCTGTTGTATTCTATCAGGTGAGTAGTGGATAGAGTCTGACCCAACCCTGTTGTAATCTATCAGGTGAGTAGTGGATAGAATCTGACCCTACCCTGTTGTAATCTATCAGGCGAGAAGTGGATAGCGTCTGACCCTACCCTGTTGTAATCTATCAGACGAGAAGTGGATAGAGTCTGACCCTACCCTGTTGTAATCTATCAGACGAGAAGTGGATAGAGTCTGACCCTACCCTGTTGTAATCTATCAGACGAGAAGTGGATAGAGTCTGACCCTACCCTGTTGTAATCTATCATGTGAGTAGTGGAGAGAGTCAGACCCTACCCTGTTGTATTCTATCAGGTGAGTAGTGGAGAGAGTCAGACCCTACCCTGTTGTAATCTATCAGGTGAGAAGTGGAGAGAGTCTGACCCTACCCTGTTGTAATCTATCAGGCGAGAAGTTGATAGAGTCTGACACTACCCTGTTGTAATCTATCAGGTGAGTAGTGGATAGCGTCTGCCCCTACCCTGTTGTAATCTATCAGGTGAGTAGTGGAGAGAGTCAGACCCTACCCTGTTGTAATCTATCATGTGAGTAGTGGATAGAGTCAGACCCTACCCTGTTGTAATCTATCATGTGAGTAGTGGAGAGAGTCAGACCCTACCCTGTTGTAATCTATCATGTGAGTAGTGGATAGAGTCAGACCCTACCCTGTTGTAATCTATCAGGTGAGAAGTGGAGAGAGTCTGACCCTACCCTGTTGTAATCTATCAGGCGAGAAGTGCTGACCCTACCCTGTTGTAATCTATCAGGCGAGTAGTGGATAGAGTCTGACCCTACCCTATTGTAATCTATCAGGATAGAAGTGGATAGAGTCTGACCCTGCCCTGTTGCTAGGTATCGAAGTTGATAGAGTCTGACCCTACCCTGTTGTAATCTATCAGACGAGAAGTGGATAGAGTCTGACCCTACCCTGATGTAATCTATCAGGTGAGTCGTGGATAGAGTCCGACTTTACCATGTAACATAATCTATCAGGTGAGTAGTGGATAGAGTCTGACCATACCCTGTTGTAATCTATCAGGTGAGTAGTGGATAGAATCTGACCCTACCCTGTTGTAATCTATCAGGTGAGTAGTGGATAGAGTCTGACCCTACCCTATTGTAATCTATCAGGTGAGAAGTGGATAGAGTCTGACCCTGCCCTGTTGCTAGGTATCTTCACACATCAGCTCACCCAATATTGAAAGAGTAGATATATGGCTCATACTTCAACTGTATAAAAGCATTACCGGTTTGTCACTGAACCCGAAGCCCAGGAGATCGTACATCACAACTTGACCAAACTCATCCTTCAGATCATCCAACACCTGTTAAAACAAGAAGTTAGCAACAATCAGAAACCAGTTGAGTGTTCACATGATATAATATTGACCTATACATATAATAGCTGGTTCCAAGCTGATGAATAGCAGGCCACTTTTGCCAGCAACCAGCTTTAAATTGAAACATTGGATAACACTGGTAATACTATGTAGCTACCAAACACTAATTATACAAGGAGGTACCGTAAATTTGCGCGTACAGTGCACCCCTTTTTTAGATAAATATTATCATGTCAAAATGGGGGTGCGCACTATACGCAGGAACAAGTCATTCTTGGGTTATCGTTCTCGAGTTTCAGGTCCGCCATATTGGATTACCTCCCTTTAAATTGTTTTGTTTGGAGTCGTCGGTCATATATATGATAGATTGAAGATAACATTTTTTTCATTTTTTTACCCATCAAATCTGATCCCAAAAACGTACCTGCGCACTATACCCGAGTGCGCACTATACCCGCAAATTTACGGTACTTAAATCCAGTAATACAATGTAACAATCTAATAATAGCATTAAAATGAAACTATATAACAATAACTACAATATGTAACACTAGTAATACAATGTACATGTAAGTACTTAACTCTGCCTAACACTGATAGTACAATACATCAGCCTGCATGGGATCAACCTTGACTATTTGGAACTACATGTACCAGTAACCTTAATCCGATCTGTGTATAGTCAGGGTAATTGCTATATATTTACCTTATACCAGTCGAAGCTTGAAGTAGGAAATCCATGGAATATCAACACAGTTCCCTTGTCTGGATTTCTTCCTTTTTCATCTAAAACAACAAAACATGAACATCTTATTTCAAAGTTGAAAATGGAAACATTTTTGATGGATCACTCGTTTTCTAGTATATTCTTCTTCTTTGTTTGAACAAAATGAAAGGTCAGGTGGTCATCCCTTTCATAAAGTGATTATACTGAACCATCCAGAGATTCATCCCAGCCATGCCATAACAACATGTCCCAAAAAGACACTTCATATATCCTCAAAATAAAACACTTACTAGGAAACGTTGCAGAATGCATGTACAAAATTGGATACAAGATCAGTGAATCATTGTATATGGTAAAACTTGATAGTTGATTTAAGATCCAACCAAGTGAGCACTGGAATGATATGGAAATCTAATATAGAAAGAAGTTCACTCTATCAGAAAGGAAGCAGAGTCCTAGATCAATAAATTAGCAACCTCAGATCATACTGGGATAACTCCAAAGTGTTGGACAAAGACAGCAACCTGTTCAAGTGGCTGATAAAAGCAGTCATCTGTATATGCCATAGAAGGCCAGTTCTGAATCGAGATGAGGGGGCTCATGGACTCGTTCACATCTATGACAACTCAAGGTATCAAAAAAACATAGCTTAATTGATTTGATCATCAAAACACATATTTGTAACATTTAAGTGTACATTCATTCATAGTTCAGCCAAGTAAATGGAAATTTTATTGACAACACATGTATTTTACACTTAAGTGTAATATATTTATTCTGCCATATTTCTGATGATAGTGACAGAGTACATGCCGTACTATTCATCAAAATGTCACATATGAAAGTTTCCTTGGTTGTGCACACAAACCTGTACACAATCCATAACTTACTAACCAGAATAAAAGGTTTACAAACAATCTCGGATATCCTGCTGCTTCATTTGTATGGGTTATATATATCATTATAGTGTAGACAGAACTGAATTGCCTCGTTCGTAAATTTTCTGGCATGAAATTATCATAATTCATAGCATATCATCATGATTATTTACATCACTTATAATAACTATATGGCATTTCACTGCCTTTATAGTCATAATTCAGTCCCAGAATTGATGTTGATAAAATTTGATTTCAGATCACCAGATTTCTCTATAACATCGTCACATGCTTATCAACCCTGCTCAAGGAACAGTGATGTTTAAAGTATGATACCCACACTAGTTTACTGGATATATTGGTTTGGCTAGCTAGGTATGTGTATATGTAATATAAGGATTAAATGTCTGTATTAAATTGATCCAATAGGAAAAATTCTAAGAATACTTTAATACAGAGAATAAAAAGCAAGAATGTAACAGTTTAACATATATAGCAAGGTAGGTATCAATACGGGTACTCATTTATAATATACCTATATAGAATATATCATGGTTGCCAAATTTGAAGAAACTGCCTCTATCCTTCCATAACCTGGCGCGATCTGTCAGTGGTGGGTTAGGAAGTACCATCAATACCACAGCTAACAACACCGTCACACACGCTGTATACAGAGGCCAACCCATCCTATATCAACACCTACAATGAAACATTTTAAATCATTATAAATTGGACTAAGTCAGTCACCATTTTGGAGGTTTCAGTTTGAGTCCTAGCTAGTCTGGGCTGCTGCATTTCCCCCTTTATACCTCAGTCTGGTAGTAACCTGTCATCTTAACCTGTACCAGGATTTTTTCTTCACTTTCTGTGTCTTATTGATAAATTATAATCTGCCTTGGTTTTACAAAACTATAAAGGACACAGATTTTCAGTCTTAGAATTCAGATATTTTCCTGACACAGGTTTTAAGAACTTCAATATATTTTCATTGATGCATACATGTCTTTCTGTTTACAAGTTTTGCAAAATCAAGATGGACTTAAGTCAATTGAGCTATATATCAACAATAATTCATGGCAAAGAAATAGATAAAGGACTAAGGATATGGTGGATCTGGAATGGAATGATCACTGGTGGCCACGTAACTCAGTATGACTGTCTCATTATGTTAGAGATTCCTTAATGGTTCCAATCCATTCCTGGTCTCAATGTTGCATTCTTCCCGTCCTGTTACAACATCATTGTCCGATGCAGATTATCTCTTTTAATCACTATAGTACTTGCTGTAGCTATTTCTGACTCTAAATAATGCTAACATATTTGATGTCAGACAGTTACACTTTTCAGATCCTACTTTTAGCCGCCAATATTTGTTTTCTTTTTGTTCCATAGCTTCACACTTTAACTGAATTTTCGTCAGTATTCCTAGAGTTTGGTTTTATAATTTGTGATGATTTATATAGATAACTATGTAAATATACAAGTATATAATTAGATCATCAACATGATAATTAACCCTGGTTTACTATAGCTAGCTCCTTTTAACCAATTCACTTTAGCTCCATGGATAGAGCACCCGACTAAGCCAGTGGTTCTGGGTTTGATTCCTAGCAGAGACATTGAAACTAATGATATCGATAGAAAGTGCATCTTTTTAATATGGTGTCATTATATTTGTAACAGAGGTTTTATTTTATTTTTGCGAACTTTACAGACTGAGATAATGGGAAATCCTCCCTGGCCAGGTTGGCAGAGAGTGGCTAGTATCTACCAGGGTGAAATTAGTAAGTATTTTCAATGTACCTTTGCCTTAATTCTGAAAATTTTTCTTAACCATATTCCTAAATAAGCTCACTGCTCAATTCTTATATGTAAATGATGTTCCATTCTCACACAAATTAAATGCTTCCTACACTCCAGTGGACAGAGATTAAAAAAGCTTAGTAACACTTCTTCCCAAAATATATCTATATCTTCTCTTCGACATTGTGAGGATGGCCAACAGCTAAAGTAGCATAGTAAAATTTATGTAATTTACTTTTTATCTTTTTGAAATCAACTACATGTATTACTACATTGTATTTAATTGACATTCAGAAAAAAATAAAAGAATCCCCAATGAAGTTCATATCCCACTTCACAAAGGAGTGAAACAACCCTTGTCCTATCCTATGTTTCCTCTGGCCCTGACTTGTACCAGACATAAACATTTAGACAGATAGATGTCTGGTGTACATATATATATCTTTCAAAATGTATGTGACATGGAGGCACAGTAGTCTAGTGGTAGGACGCCAGGCTTGTGACTGAAGGGTTGCGGGTTCAAGTCAAGTCATGGCACTGTGTTGTATCTTTGAACAAGATACTTTATAATTACTGGGCAGTGCTTGCATTCTTGGTGCTAGTTGTGAGCGGTGAAATGGCTACATGCTCCCCAGGAAATTGAGAAAGCTATCGGCTGCATGTTGCAAATTAAGGCCCTATAATTACGGATAATAATTTGTGAACCGCTTTGAGACGATGTAGGAACTAGGTTGTGATAAAGTGGTATATAAGAACCTCGAATAATTATTATTATTAAAATGTTTAAGCCTATATAGTGTCAGGGACAGAGGAAACTCGGCCTACCCCTGTCCCTACCCCCAATAGGTGCTTGACAAACAGAAAACATAAATTATGATGTGTATATATTAGAAGTATCAACACATCATGATGTTTTGTGTGTCCAGCATACATGCACTATACACCCCTCCCCCTCAGCTTTTTTCTCTCTACATATAAAACAAACAACTCGATCTGAGACACATGCATTTTACATCAGATACATATAAAGTCACTGAATAAAGTGTCAAAAAGTCAGTATAAGCATGCAAATCCAGTTGCAGATATACATTTTAGAAATTGAGTATCGCTGTGTCGACAAGAACTGAGAAGGCCAAACAAAAAATAGTTGGTGTTTCCTGTAACGTAACCTAGCTACCTACTCTAATTCAAATGTTTGTGCCAGGGATGTGTAGTGGTCAATTTTCAAAAAAGCACTGTTAAAGTCAAGATCACTCTCCTATATAAACCACATAAAACAACGGTTAAAAATAACACGTGTTACCTACCTTCCCTATTTTTTTCCAATATGTTACAGGAAACAGCTAAACAGAAAGGGGACAGAAAGTACAAAATCTAGAACGACTGATCAAAGATCAACAGTACAGAACATGTTTGTATAACAAATGAGCAATTGTCATTACTATGATGGATATATTGCGCACAAAAATAATTAAGTGACGCTAATCAGCTATTGTACACTGTATTTATGAGCTACATGTAATCTATCCAACCCTGTTGACCAGGAGCTGACTTCTGACACTTACCAAAACATCAAGCACGTGTGTCGAATGTAAATATATCCCACAAACCTTTGTACCGGAAATATATTTGAATTCTGGAATGTAATGAGCATGCGCTCATGTTCATTCCTGCTAGTTACGGAAGCAAACAAGATGTCTGCCGTCAGTACCTCCAGAGCTAAGAAAAATGATGTAAGTTTAATGTTCATTTTCATTGATTACTTTTCAGTAGTAATTTACGATATGTTCACTTACCTACATTATTTTCTTTATAGCCGCTGGCGAAAAAAACTCCTGCCAACCCGAAATACAGCCATATCGGACCAACCGTTGATACAGGTGAGAAAGATGCTAAGTTACAGTAGGCCAGTAGCCTACTTGTTTTATTTCGGAGTTTTGACGTTAAGTTTTCATAGTTGTGTATCCGGAATCATAGGGACACGCATCTTAACAAACGATTGTAGTCAACCCTGGTCCCAGAGGTGTACTTTTTTTCCAATGCCAAAACAAATGTCTATTTTTTAAGCATATTATAGGTATTTTTTGTATTATTGTTATTATTATTTTTTGACAGAGTTTCAGGCTCCTGTGATACTGATAGAGGCAAGGCAGACAACAATTAAAACACCGGTTATTATTTAATGCTCTAATATATGCATTAAATCATACTAGGTACTACTTATAATATGTTTAAAGGATATATATATTCAACAGTAAATTGTGCCAATATCTGGACAAATGGTCAAAGATATCAAGCAATTTGATTTCTTTAACTAAAGAATTGAGTCTATCAATATGAGTTGAATTTTAATGTTTTTCATGTGTGAACATTCAACTTTAGTTGCCTTAAACTCAGAAACAGGAATCAGCAAGTGCTCAGCTCCAATAGAATCACAGAGCTCTACAACAGCTGTGCCTAGTTATACTACCTATGACATATACTAGTGAACAAGTCCTATCATATTTGAGGATCCAGCTCTGTTCCATGTATATATTATACTTGCTATATGTTCACCTAATCTGTATTGTACACATGTAAGACGTACCTTACACTTGTACCTGCACCAGACTATATGAATAATTTATTCAAATTAATTCAGTCACAACGATAAATAGTTCATCCCTGTGTATTGTTAAATTCTTTAGTCTGAGATTCAGCTGTGCCTGTAGTCCAGAAATAGCTTACTCTTACCAAATATGTTTGACAACAGTCGATTAGCATTGTAATAAAGTGGATCAGGTATTTTAATCATAGTACAGTTGCTATCCCCCCTCCACCCCACGAGCATCAAACCCCGAAAAAACCCTATAAAAACCTAAATTTCCCATGATCACAGAATTAACATCTGAAAAAATAATAACTTTCCAAGTTCTTCTGAAACAAGTACTGAGAAGGTACCATAGATACAGTACATTGGCTGTATTTATAGAATAAACCTATGCATGAATATGTGTAAGAAAAGACCATCTCCCAGTGTTTAACTATAACTACCTGGTAATGATTAACTCTTGGTATACTCTACCTATTTATTTATTTATTTTTGCTTGAAACAAAATTGTTTCTTCCTACTTTGAATTTAAAGAAAAAAGAAAAAGAAGATTCTTTTAAAAATATCTTTCATTTTAAGAAATTTCTTCTAAAACAAAAAGAGATGTATAAAATGAAAAATGACTGGGGAGAAAATCCTATATTAAAAAGAAAAGTCATAAAATTAGATTTGGAATGTACTCTGATATAATATGAGTTTTTCTGAACATATGAGGCTTCTTCTGGGCAGTATATTCTCTTCATTGATGTCAATGAACCACAAACACACAAGTTTTATAACTATCTTAAATAGGCTATGAAATGAAAATTGCTACAGCCATTTAACACAAAACAGTCTTCAAAAAGTCATTGTTTTTTACTCTTTGACTTTGAAGAGATAATGAAAATTGCTTCCATGCTGAATCAAAAATGCAAATTCACATACTGGTCATCAGATTGCCTCAAGAAGCATTTATCCTACAGTATATCGATTGTATTTTCCTAAGAACATGTCCACCATGGGTAAATTGACACATTCTGTTTTACACTGAAAAATATTGATTTCCTATACATCGTTCGTAGCCTCATAGGCCACTTTTTATCAAATTCGCCCTCATTACATGTAAATTGTAACTGCCATCGTCCAAATATTTTATTAATGTTATGTTGTTAAATATAAATACTGCAAGCTTGCTTCACATTAGAAAGTGAGTTTTGTGTGTGTCAAACTTCATTATCAGCTTCTCTAATAGATAAAACTAACCTCTTTGGAAGTTTGGACAGTAAGTATAGGGAAGAGAACTAAATGCAGTCCAATGGCAGAGGAACACAGGGCAAATAAAGGAAATAGTGTACAGAAATGTTAACCAAATTTGGAATTTAGGAGGCCAAGATGACTCAGCAGTGTTAAATAAAAACTGTGGTCTACATGTTGGCTCGACATGAATAAAGAAAACAGGGGTACATTTTATAAAGATTTTTATGACATAAATGATGCCTGTTCTTAGCTCTTTATTTGCTCATTTAATATTCTGATGTACTATTTTCAACATTGATCTCAGAAGTCAAGAACGGTTGAGCTCCTGTGCTCCAATGTAATTTACTAATTTTAGATATTAATTATCAAAAGTAAAATTTTCATCATTAGTACAGATGAATTGTCTCCCTTCTATTGTAATATGTACAGTCTCTGGCTACATTAGCAGGATACTAATACATTGTATAAGAATTTAAAAAATAAATGTGATATCAGTATAACCTTAAATATGATATGTAATTTTTGTGGTTGTTGATCAATAAAATGTCCCATACATTTATATATATATTTACTTTTTTTTAAACTTTTGCCATCACATAGCTATTATATAATAAAATCAACTGATTTGAAGAACAAAAGAAGGAACTGTATTACCCTTGCAGGAAAGATTTGTGTAGTAATGTGTACTAACAAGCACATTGTATTTGTGATTTATGTGACCTAGGTGTTCACTGAAGTAAAAACTGTTCTTTTTCAGGAGCAAGTATAACCAAATACATGGCCAAGATTGAGGATATGAGAAAAAGTAAGTAAAGCAAACATCTTACCCTGGAATTTTCACTACAGTATGTAGAAATACCATTTTCTTACCAGTTAACATTCAAATAATGCTGACATTGTTTTAATTATTAATACAAAACTGCTATATTTGCTTGTCAGAGGCTGATTTTTTTTTTATAAAACAAATATCAGTTTTTTCATGTATTATGTTCGTTTTGAGAGTTCACCACTTTGCAGGCATAAAAATAATTTAAACAAAATGATTATTGATATGTTTGAACACAGTAAGGTAAAACTTTGATTTGTTCAAAAATTCTTTCATCAATTTGAAATTTGAAATTTACTACAGATGTCCTATAAAAGATAAAGACGAATTTGTTCTACAACATTGAGTGCTGAAATCTTGATGCAACTTCAAAGTTAATTCTAGCCAATATTGGTAGCCCTGAAATGAAAAGTCACCTGGAATATTAAAACTGGTTGTCATTTAAAGCTTGCTGCTGATTGTAATGTAACTTGTAAAGAATTGTACATGACTTCCAGATCTCGGCAATGGAGTGTCATAGATTATAAGATGGTCAAAATACAGGTCACTTCAGTAAAAAAAAAAACAGTTATCAAACTCAGTAGTATGGTGGTAAACTATTAAAATTTGCCTTTTAATATACGCAAGTAAATCTTTACTAAGGAGTATTTTAATATTGGTACCTGTCTGGTATTGTATGAGTTATGTCCCTTCTATTTGGGATGTCGGCATGATTATGATACCATGTGTTATTGTATCGTTATCCTATTTGAAGTAAATGGTACGATTAAGTGAGCAGACATGATTTTAATTTTCATCATAACACTACATGAAGACGAAATCTAAACAATACCTTATAAAATGTGATTTAAAATAAAATCAATGTTGGGGTATTAAGCATTGCTAAATGCAAAATTAATACAAGAGAATAGATTCTAGAATATACTACAATCTCCCTCTGAAAGTTCTGTTGATATTTACTCATTGACCCCTGAAGTTACATTTGACACATGTTGGAGTAGTTCATTATGAAATTTCAGGGGTGAATGAGTAATTACAATTTGCCTGTACAGCAGAGCATCACTATTCAAAGGGACATCACTCTTCCATTCCTCACTATATTGATATGCTGAAACAACTTTAAGGAATCAATGTCATATACTTATTACCGGTAATGCACTGATTAAGTTAACCAACCCCTGTCAGCTGTGAGGTCTTTATGAAGAACCTCACTGTCCTGATTGTAACAGGATCTATACATGTCAAATATAGTATTACGTTTTACTCTTTATTTGCTTGTTTTGTAATCTTATGCTAGATGCATAGATCCATGCTACCCTTCCATCCATCAATAATTAATTCTTCAAACAGTGTCTTTTTCGGAACTGCTTAATGGAATTTAACCAAATTTGACTGGGAATATTTTAAGGTGGTGATGATTCAAAGTTATATGCCCCAAGTCCAGCAATGGTCACCACTGGTCAGTTGCACTGGTGGTGTGTGCCGCAGTGGCCTGTAATTAGTGGGGGAGGGGAACCGCAGGACAAGCCATCAGGTGTCCAACAAGCATGTTCAAGGTGAGCAATTTGTCACTGGAGCCTACCTCTGGGTCCTCTCATCAAGGTCAATAGGTGCTTAATTTGAGGAAACTTCTGTAATGCGTGAAAAACAATCTCTTAATTACATAATACAGCTATTATGCGTGAATTTGCTCACATTGATTACATTTGACAGCGCTTCAACCGTGTGACAGTGTTCAGTTATAGTCACTGTGAAGGTGGCTGTCTTGGATTGTGTGTTAACTACAAACCAGAAAGCGGAATGAAAATCCAGATTTTTTTATTTTTAAAGGGAGAAAGGTTCAAATAAAAACACACATTTTACTCTTTGATTAAATTCACTGACAAAAATATATTTAAAACAGTTGTAGAGGAAATAAAAACATTGTGTAAAACAATACAATTTATCTTAGCAAAATAGTAAACTTGTATGAGATGAATTTGTTCATAGATGTTTCCCCTGAGTTTATTTATGTAACATAAACAGCTTTTAAATATTTCGTTTTAAGTTATCTTAGATGCCCTCTGGCCTCTGGGCCTCAAGTTTTAAAAAAAATATTTTAATATTTTTTTATAAATATTTTGGGATTGATTTTTACTTTAAAACCTACAGTAATAATTGTGAAGTGCAATGAAAACATCTTGCACATGATCAAAATAAAACTTGAACGTGATTTAAACCTCAGAGAAGTAGATCCTTAAGAACTAGTTGAGTGTATTATAGTTTTGGAATGTAGTGACTTAACTTGTCTTGAGGGACAGTTTGGAGCGAAGGTCGGCTGCTAGGCAGTGTCGTTATTAAAGCCTTGACAATATCCCTTTTATCTTACATTATGTAAGCCAGTTGTTGTGATTTATTGACATTGATAGAGTAACTTGACGACCTAATTCAGCTACCCACTAACTTTACATTTAAAAACTTACTACAATGGATTAATGCTATTACAAAGTATAATACTCTATACCTGGACATCAGATTATGGTTGTTAATCTAGAATTAATTATTTCCCGCCAGAGCAATCAACATGACTCAATCATGTATTATTAAGGTGCACATTTCCCAGGAATTTGTGACTACAACATTGACTGATGGTTTAACAACTGCATGTAAGGATAATAATTTTAAGTTACTAACAGATAAATTATAGAAATCCTCTGATGTTACTTACAGATAAATAATAGAAATCCACTGATGTTACTAACAGATAAATAATAGAAATCCTCTGAATGTTACTAACAGATAAAGTATAGAAATCCTCTGATGTTACTTACAGATAAATAATAGAAATCCTCTGATGTTACTAACAGATAAATTATAGAAATATCCCCTGATGTTACTAACAGATAAATTATAGAAATCCCCTGTGTTACTAACAGATAAAATACAGAAATCCTCTGATGTTACTAACAGATAAATTATAGAAATCCCCTGATGTTACTAACAGATAAAGTATAGAAATCCTCTGAAGTTACTTACAGATAAATAATTGAAATCCTCTGATGTTTCTAACAGATGAATTATAGAAATCCTCTGATCTTACTTACATATAAAGAATAGAAATCCTCTGCTGTTACTAACAGATGAATTATAGAAATCCTCTGAATGTTACTAACAGATGAATTATAGAAATCCTCTGATGTTCCTTACAGATAAATAATAGAAATCCCCTGATGTTACTAAAAGATAAATTATAGAAAGCCCCTGATGTTACTAACAGATAAATAATAGAAATCCTCTGATGTTACTAACAGATAAATTATAGAAAACCCCTTTGTAACTAACAGATAAATTACAGAAATCCTCTGATGTTACTAACAGATAAATTACAGATTACAGAAATCCTCTGATGTTATTAACAGACAAATTATAGAAATATCCCCTGATGTTACTAACAGATAAATTATAGAAATCCTCTGATGTTACTAACAGATAAATTACAGAAATCCTCTGAATGTTACTTACAGATAAATTATAGAAATATCCCCTGATGTTACAAACAGATAAAGTATAGAAATCCTCTGATGTTACTTACAGATAAATAATAGAAATCCTCTGATGTTACTAACAGATAAATTATAGAAATCCCCTGTGTTACTAACAGATAAATTACAGAAATCCTCTGATGTTACTAACAGATAAATTATAGGATAATCCTGATATTATAAGCAGATCTATCAATCAAAGAAACACCCTGATGTTATTAGCAGATCTATAAATTATAGCAATACCCTGATGTTACTTATAGAGAAATGATAAAAATACCCTGTTATTAACAGATAAATTATAGAAATACCCTGATGTTATTAGCAGATCTATAAATTATAGAAATACCCTGATGTTACTTATAGAGAAATGATAGGAATACCCTGTTATTAACAGATAAATTATAGAAATACCCTGTTACTAACAGATAAATTATTGAAATACCCTGTTGGTTCTAGTAAAATATAGAAATACCCTGATGGTACTGGTAAACTACAGAAATACCCTGATGGTACTGGTAGCTATAGAAACACCCTGATGGTACTGGTTATTTATATAAATACCCTGATGGTACTGGTTAACTAAAGGAATACCATAATGCCATTGATGGTACTGGTTATTTATAGAAATACCCTCATGGTACTTTTTAACTATAGAAATACCCTGATAGTACTGTTTTACTATAGAAATACCCTGATTCTACTGGTTATTTATAGAAATACCCCGATGGTACTGGTTAACTAAAGGAATACCATGATGGTACTGGTTAACTATAGAAATACCCTGGTGGTACTGGTGTAGCTATAGAAATACCCTGAGGATACTGGTTAACTATAGAAACACCCTGATGGTACTGGTTAACTATAAAAACACTCTGATGGTACTGATTAACTATAGAAATACCCTGATGGTACTGGTTAACTATAGAAATACCCTGATGGTACTGGTTAACTGTATAAATACCCTGATGGTACTGGTAGCTATAGAAATACCCTGATGGTACTGGTTAACTATAGAAACACCCTGATGGTACTGGTTAACTATAGAAATACCCTCATGGTACTGGTTATTTATAGAAATACCCTGATGGTACTGGTTATTTATAGAAATACCCTCATGGTACTGGTGTAGCTATAGTAATACCCTGAGGGTACTGGTTAACTATAGAAACACTCTGATGGTACTGGTTAACTATATAAATACCCTGATGGTACTGGTTAACTATATAAATACCCTGATGGTACTGGTTAACTATAGAAATACCCTGATGGTACTGGTTAACTATAGAAATACCCTGATGGTACTGGTTAACTATAGAAATACCCTGATGGTACTGGTTAACTATAGAAATACCCTGATGGTACTGGTTAACTATAGAAATACCCTGATGGTACTGGTTAACTATAGAAATACCCTGATGGTACTGGTTAACTATAGAAATACCCTGATGGTACTGGTTAACTATAGAAATACCCTGATGGTACTGGTTATTTATAGAAATACTCTGATGGTACTGGTTATTTATAGAAATACCCTGATGGTACTGGTTAACTATAGAAATACCCTGATGGTACTGGTTGTTTATAGAAATACCCTGATGGTACTGGTTATTTATAGAAATACCCTGATGGTACTGGTTAACTATAGAAACACTCTGATGGTACTGATTATTTATAGAAATACCCCGATGGTACTGGTTAACTAAAGGAATATCATGATGGTACTGGTTATTCATAGAAATACCCTCATGGTACTTATTATTTATAGAAATACCCTGATGGTACTGGTGTAGCTATAGAAATACCCTGAGGGTACTGGTTAACTATAGAAACACCCTGATGGTACTGGTTAACTATAGAAACACTCTGATGGTACTGATTAACTATAGAAATACCCTGATGGTACTGGTTAACTATATATAAATACCCTGATGGTACTGGTTAACTATAGAAATACCCTGATGGTACTGGTAGCTATAGAAACACCCTGATGGTAGTGGTAAACTACAGAAATACCCTGATGGTACTGGTTATTTATAGGAATACCATGATGCCATTGTTGGTACTGGTTATTTATAGAAATACCCTCATGGTACTGGTTAACTACAGAAATACCCTGATAGTACTTGGAGTGTCTTCAGCAATATTGTTTGGCTTTAACAATAGGTTTGCTTTGTTCCTGGCTGTTACATTTGTTTGATTTTGTTACATTCTTTCATTTGCTGAAAATGTCTGATGTTTCTAACCCACATTCAGAAGTAAACAGTACTTGACAACCATCACCTGCTCACACTGCTAAGTAAATGAATTCAGTTTACGCCTGACATGGCCATTCCTTTTACGCTGCAGTTTATCACCATAAATTGTGATAAAGACTTTAAAAGAGTCTCCTTGTGCAAATTGTGTTTATAGGGTGTATTTGTATACTTGAACAGAGGGATGAATGATCGCATGTAAGGTTTATAGAAAATATTTTCATTGTTAAAAAATTTCACTGGAGATTCTGGCCACTTTGATGTGTACATGCATTTCTAAACGTAATCGGTAGCGATTAAGTTTGAATAACAGAATTAATATTTGCTCTGCTATATATAGTTTATTACATTTTCACATCCCTCAGGAGTCTACTTCTGGTATTGAATATTTGTACGTATAAGTATTGAATGAGCTTAAGAGATAATCCGTCATATTCTCCACAGTGTACACACAGCACAGTGAGATTTACACAGACGTATGTATAAGTGTTCTTCGTCCGTAAATCAAGACAGACCTTTATCTCCTTTTTGCACCATTTAATACTTTGAAACATTTTAAAAGCCATACCTTATATTTAAATAAGATATAAAATGCCAGCAGGACTTTTAGCTCATTACTTTCCATTGATATTGGCTATATTATACCTACGAGTAGATTAGGCGTGCTTACCTTGGCTATAACACACAGGTATACGGGCACTCAGCGCTGTTTGTTAGACCGACAGCCTCACTGGTCATTTCAGTGCTGAGAAGTTCAATGCTTTTCTAATTTCTCTTGCTGATTCTGACAAATCTTTAAACATTTGATATCTCAATTTTTCTTGAGTGAGATCTAGAAAACCTCGAATTGCTTCTGTGTGCAGCTACTCGACACAGTAGACTATACATATATAGTGGATCTCCAATTCGGTGTGTATTGGGTGGCTGTTTGCTGAGTACATATTGTTGGGTGAGTGTGGATCCCACCCAGTGTGTACATATTGGGTGGCTGTGGTCTACCTGGATACAGGCTGAATCTCAAATAATAAGGGAAGGTCTTTTTACCAGCTGGCATGGCATAGGATATGTTTGTGTGGGCTGCTGGAAACAATGGTGTTTTCATCTCGTTACTCAACATCAGGATAAATTAAGTCACTAAAACAACAAAATGCCCAAAAAAGGCAATCCGTCTTTCTACAACTCGAGTTATATGACTCCAAGGAAAGCACCTCCCAGGCCAAGAATTTTCAAAGAGGATCGCTTCCGACTTTCAGAAATCTTAAAAGAGGCTGAGAAAGGTTTGTATTTTTTGGACTTAGTGTAAAAAGCGTTTTGTGTAACTTCTTATAAACTTATCTTAGAATTCAGAACGGTAACCCAATGTATATATTCATGTTCAACCAATTGATAGTTACAAAAAAACAACAATAGTTAATTCTATAGATCTTCAGTTTTGGTTTCTTAAGTTTGCAATTTCAAAAGCACTCCACATTTTTAAGAGGACAATGTTGTTAATCAGTGTTTGTCAAAGCCTGCTTTTAGTTGGTACCATTTGGGGAGGGGGGGGGGGAAAGATAAAGTAAAAAACATTAAGTAGTGTTTAGATGGGTAATATTACATGATTACTATATACATTGATCATCAAGGCTGAAGCTGGATATCAGGTTTACCTAGGAGGGAGGTTATATCTGGTTTACCTAGGAGGGAGGTTATATCTGGTTTGTGTTTTAAGTGTATACAATTGAGTGATTCATAATATAGGTTTGTGTTTAGATGTTTTGCTTTGTAGTGTTTGAGATGGGGGCTACATATTTGTTATATGTTTAGATTTTTGGGTGTTTGGTGTTTTAGATAGAGACTACATATACACATTTGGTATATGTTTAGATGGAGACATTTGGTATATGTTTAGATTTTTGGTTGTTTGGTGTTTTAGATAGAGACTACATATACACATTTGGTATATGTTTAGATGGAAACTATGTACACATTTGATATATATGTTCAGTGTTGCTTCTAGGGCGCGGGATCGCGGAATTCCCGCAAAAATATAAAGAACCCCGCTTAAATCAAACCTCAGTGCGGGCCTAATGCCGCAACTCTTTGATAAATCCCCCCTTTCAGACAATCCTTTGCGTTCATTTATTTCTTTCGCGGTTCAATCGTTGTACGATAACAAAGTCGGCCATGTTGTGCAAGAGACCGAAACGTCTTTTGAAATGACAGTTTTCATTGGCTGATTTATTAAAGCTACGCCAATCAGAATGGGGCTCTTAAAATAAACATTCTCGCACGTGCGGCGACCTCGTACTGGACCTACACGAGGTCTAAGGTGAATGTACAGCTTCTAAATGAATATGAAAAGAACACTGTTTGAGTTTAGTTTCACGGCAAACCGCCACCATTTAGACAGGGATGAGAGAGAGGTTACCGACGAATATGAAACCGAAACAGGCGAACCAAACAGTGAAACTGGAGCAGACGATGTCGAGCCCTCCCCTGCCTTGTCACTTCGCTCCTCAGCTGCTGCCTTTGGCAGCAGCACCCCCTATTTCATACTGAAGGGGCCCAAGGCCCCCCATTGGACAAATCCTAGAATCAGCACTGTATGTTTAGATATTTGGTTTGTTACAGGGATTGGGGCTACTTATTTAGATTGTGAGATTAAAGTGCATTCAGATGTTTATATACAATGTATATAATGCTGGATGGAGGGCCACATAGTGTGGTTTGTTTTTAGATGTTTATTTTGAGGTCAACAGTTGTATATTTACATCACCACTGCAAGTTCCTCTATCAGCTTTACCAGAAGCAACTGCATTCATAGAGCTATGAATACAATTTGATCAGTGTCATTTTCAATTTTTTACAACTCCATTCATTCCTTTAAAAATACAGACTATAGCTGTTTTGTTTGGATGTTTGGACTTTTGCTTTTTTGAGGGCTACAATTGTATGATTTATGTTGGGTGTGTTTTATTTTAATTGGGTAACAAATAGATATTTGGTGGGTGTTTGGATGTTTGGTGTGCTAGACAGAGCAGGGTATATATTTAGTGTGTGTTTAGATGTTTGAGTTGGACAGAGCAGGTTTTATGTATTTGGTTTGTGTTCAGAATGTGTTGGACGGAGGTTGTGTTTAGATGTTTGTCGTGTGTTTAGATGTTTGTCGTGTGTTGAGATGTTTGTCGTGTTTTGAGATGTTTGCGTTGGACTGAGGTTGTGTTTATATATTTCGTGTGTGTTTAGATGTTTGGTGCCTATTTAGATGTTTGTCGTGTGTTGAGATGTTTGCGTTGGACGGAGGTTGTGTTTAGATATTTCGTGTGTATTTAGATGTTTGTCGTGTGTTGAGATGTTTGCGTTGGACAGAGGTTATGTTTAGATATTTTTTGTGTGTTTAGATGTTTGGTGTGTATTTAGATGTTTGGTGTGTGTTGAGATTTCTGTCGTGTGTTGAGATGTTTGCGTTGGACAGAGGTTGTGTTTGGAAGTTTGTTACAGTCCTTGGTGACATGACGAGTTAGCATAGTGAGCCTCTGGGACAGCTAGCTTACTGTGATCAATATATCACCTGAAGCCGAGTATAGATCTCCCCGCGGGCTCAGGATGTGTGAATAATTGATTTCAAATTCATGTGCAGCTGACTTCAATTGACAAGGGTCCCTGAATAATGGCAGAATGTTAATCTGATTGTCATTTAATCAAATTCAATTTCCTCAAAATTTGTTTACTCTTTGATATTTTATTATCTTTAGCAACACTTAAAACTCATAACCAATTTCTGATGATACATGTAGGTTCATTTTCAACTTGAAAGAAATAATTTGAAGGTTTTTTTGGTGGTTTTTTTCAAAATTGTATTACATAGTGCAATTTTTTTCATAAATGACTAGATGCATATATATATATACATGAACAGTGTATATCATGAACAAGCTAAACAGTTTCATGTTTCTAGCACATATATAATTATATATATACAATGTACATTTCAACATTTGTGGTGAGCTTTTACACCAAAATTTTAAATCCCAGTGAAGTTCAGTAAATACAATATTCACACAATTAAATAAAGATCTATTATCAGGACACTTTAAATTTGGCCACTGCTGTCATTCCACACATAGCTAATGTAAGAAAAATGCCTAAACAATAAATTAAATTCAAATGATCCTGGTTTTTCTCATTCCAAATAACACAGTTAAACAAAGAGTTTTAAGAAAGACTGTGATGTTCGATAGCTTTAAACTTCCACTTTATGTTGATGTTGCAATTAGTTAAAATTAGAAAAGAATTCTCATAACTTTTGTTGGAATAAATTTAATTGAGAGTTTGTATTATGAGCAATGCTTCCATGTTGGCTTTCAGTCAATATTAAACAATGCTAAAAACCAGACATCAAATTGTGATATATGTATAAGTTTGTTTGCACATTTTGAATGTCAACAGAAACTTTAACATTGATGAACTGTTTGACGGTATCATGAGTGCATGACGTCTAAAAGTGTAGAAACATAATGTAAGCAGTAAGCTATGTTTTGGACCAGAGTCTGTGTAAGTATATACACACTGAGGCTGTTTGAATGGCGACAAGTTTAATTCTGACATGTAATTGAAGGGTTTACATGTTTTTGTTTTTAATCCCATTCATCGCAGTCCCGTTTATAAATATTTGTCATCTACTACTTCAAATAACCAGACTTTGTCCGAATCAGCCCAAAGAACCATTTAAGGGGGGAAATTGTCAATCAGAACAGGTAATTTGGACAGGTGGGATAGAAAGCTTTCATGCTGTGTTATTTATCGTAATGTTATTACATAAGGTGTACTTATTGATTATCCTAGGGTTTCAAGTACATGATGTATTTAGATTAACCTAGATTAAATTGTAGGGAGAACAAATGGTTCTGGTTGGTGACTCTCGATCAGTATGGTGAATTCTTCAGCACGACCATCAAGGTCTTGTGACTTACTGTCATCTTAGCAAAACAGGCTGTTGAAAGTGTATTATATAAAGTAATGATATAATAAAAGGTCATTTTCTACAGGTAAATATTAAAAAGGGATATATAGCTAAGTTGTCATTGTACACAGGTTTAAATTAGAGTGTGATATATATACCTCAGTTGTCATTGTACACAGGGTTATGTTAGAGTGTGATATATACCTAAGTTGTCATTGTACACAGGGTTATGTTAGAGTGTGATATATAGCTAAGTTGTCATACAGGTTTATGTTAAACTCGTGATATATACCTAAATTGTCATTGTATACAGGTTTATGTTAGAGTGTGCTATATAGGTAAGTTGTCATTGTACACAGGTTTATGTTAGAGTGTGATATAAAGCTAAGTTGTCATTGTATACAAGTTTATGTTAAAGTGTGATATATACCTAAGTTGTCATTGTACACAGGTTTATGTTAGAGTGTGATATATAGCTAAGTTGTCATTGTACACAGGGTTATGTTAGATTGTGATATATACCTAAGTTGTCATACAGGTTTATGTTAAACTCGTGATATATACCTAAGTTGTCATTGTACACAGGTTTATGTTAGAGTGTGATATATACCTAAGTTGTCATTGTATACAGGGTTATGTTAGAGTGTGATATATAGCTAAGTTGTCATTGTATACAGGTTTATGTTAGAGTGTGATATATACCTAAGTTGTCATTGTATACAGGTTTATGTTAGAGTGTGATATATACCTAAGTTGTCATTGTATACAGGTTTATGTTAGAGTGTGATATATACCTAAGTTGTCATTGTATACAGGTTTATGTTAGAGTGTGATATATACCTAAGTTGTCATTGTATACAGGTTTATGTTAGAGTGTGATATATACCTAAGTTGTCATTGTATACAGGTTTATGTTAGAGTGTGATATATACCTAAGTTGTCATTGTATACAGGTTTATGTTAGAGTGTGATATATACCTAAGTTGTCATTGTATACAGGTTTATGTTAGAGTGTGATATATACCTAAGTTGTCATTGTATACAGGTTTATGTTAGAGTGTGATATATACCTAAGTTGTCATTGTATACAGGTTTATGTTAGAGTGTGATATATACCTAAGTTGTCATTGTATACAGGTTTATGTTAGAGTGTGATATATACCTAAGTTGTCATTGTATACAGGTTTATGTTAGAGTGTGATATATACCTAAGTTGTCATTGTATACAGGTTTATGTTAGAGTGTGATATATACCTAAGTTGTCATTGTATACAGGTTTATGTTAGAGTGTGATATATACCTAAGTTGTCATTGTATACAGGTTTATGTTAG